GTAGGTGCCATGCCTAGCTAGCACAGTCACAGATCTTTCGTTTGCTGTTTGTGAGAAAAAGCTCCGCGTTTTGAGTGCGCTATGGCGGGCCTTGGGGGGCATGAGACAAGGGAACTGATCACTCCACTTGCTTCCACCTCTCAACCTGCTGGTGCACTCCAGCAATAACAATAATAATAATAACAATAATAATAATAACAATATATATTAAAAAAAAATAAAAAAAATAAGAACAATATATCTGCTCGAGGCAGCTGCAGAGTCCCTCCTGGACTTGGCCCGAACGGAGCAGTTCCTCCGGCGGCTTCTGTTTTTTTTTGGGGGGGTTTTTGGGTTTTAGGATTTAGGGTTTTGCGGTTTGGGATGTTGGGTTAGGGTTTAGGATTTCGAGCCTTCGGCTTCTCAGTTTCGGAGGTTCAGGATTTTGGCGGGGGCTTAGGCTCTTGGGGTATAGGGCTTTGGGGTTAGGCCTTTTGGTGTTTAGGATAGTTGAGTTTTGTTTGAAGGGCGTAGGGGGTACTGAACTTTAGGGCTTTAGTATTTAGGGTTGTGAGTAACGTTTAGTGTTTAGGGTTCGTTGCCTCGGCAGGTTGGCTGGAATAGAGAGTCCGCGATGGCCATGTCCAGCAAATGCTCCAGACGAGCCAGTCATGAGTCATTCTTGGTAATCATATGTAATAATAATATTCATAAAAAATAAGAATCATCATCATGATAATCATCATCATCAGATGTCATCATCGCCACCGGCGGCCTCATCATCGTCTTCGTTCTCATTATACCTTGATTTTCGTGATTACCATCGCCATTGCCATGTTGAGAAGAGGGTGATGATGACGACAATGATGAGGATGAGGGTGATAGGCTCATTGCCAGATAGTGTTTACGTTTGCAAAAAGAGCGTCACCTGCTTTCCGTCGACGCACCCTTCCAAGGCTTGGAGTGCAAAAAGCCTTCGTGCGGGAGGCACGGTGCCGGTGTTCGGGGGGTGCCCTTGGCTGAGCGCACGGCTGGTCAAGGCCATGACGACGCGAATGAAGGACGACAACGCAAAGGTGCGAGCCACTGCGCAACCGGCTCAGAGGGGGTCGCAGCCGATAAAAAATCCGAAAGTCATGGCCGGTCACGCCATGTGTGTGGCCCAGGTCCACCTGCCTGAACATGCTCAGCCTCCAAGAGGATGCTCTCTGCAGGCAGAAGCTCAGACAGCGGCACAAGGCCAGGGGTGATTTTTGTTGGCTCAGCTCTGCACATTTTTCCGCCTTTGCATGTTTCCAACGCCAGGCAAAGAAGAAGCTTGACAGCACGCCCCTTGCCTGCACTCTGCGCGATGGTCAGGTGAACTTGCCCGGAACCCTAAACCCAAGTACCGTCGATCCCATACCCCAAACCTCCTAAACAAAACCCCAAAGCCACAATGAACCCTGAAACTCCCAACACGAGGCGCGGTGAGCAAGCGGAGGTCGATGAAGACTTGGAGGAAGAGGAGATTGACTTGATTGTCGTATATTGCTATATTGTCTTAAGCTATACAAAGCTATACCACATTCTATTGTTGTGAACTATACTCTTATGTGCTTAAAACAGCATGCTGGAGCTAGGCCTTTTTGTGTTTTCAGGACATTGACATGCTCCGGGACAGCGCTCCCTGGCGGGGGTTTCGAAACTTGTTCGTGGTTTTTGTTGATGGTTTGGGGGGTTTGGGGACTCCGGGGTTGGCTGGGGTTTGGGGCTTTTTTTTTTTTTTGCGTTTAGAGCGTCCGGGCGAGGTCTTCCCCTCGCGGAACTGAGGTTCTGGAGCTGGAGGATATTGCCCGACTTGTGATTAATTTGACGAGACATGTGAGGGATTAAAGTAGCCTGAAGACATCTTGTCTCAGAAGAAAGTGCCTTCGTTCCTGTCGAAGCTTGGCGAAGGGTCTTTTGCTGACCGTCCCTTAAGGGGTTCTTCTGCGGTTAGGCACCAGCCATGCCTCTCGACATTTGCATATATTTCTCTGTGCAGAACTGCACCCAACAAGAGCCGGTGACTCCAAGAACTTCATCCCCAAGAGTCCCCTAAACCCTAAACCCCTAAACCCTAACCCCTAAACCCGAAAGAGTCTCGGAGCTCCATCCTTCTCGGGCCGGCCCTTGACTATTTGATGCCTGCTTCATCTCTGACAGAGAGAGTCGCAGGGAGGCTGTGGCTCGGGGACAATTTGCTGCTTCTTGTGCGTGAATCCCCTTGCTGACCAGCTCCGGAGTCGTTACTGATTTCCTGTTTGAGAGCGGCTAGGGAATGCTCTGCTTTCACTGGATCCCTCACCAAGCATTGTTCTTTTAAAGCCGCGGGCTTGCCGTTCTAAAACCCCTCAACTTGTCAACCCCAAACCCTAAACCTTAAACCCTGAACCCTGAACCCTAAACCCTAAACCCTAAAAAGCCCTAAACAAGAGCAAACGAAACGGCAATCCCTGGTGGCCGCAGCGCGACAAGTCGATCCAGGCTCTGCCGAATTCCGCACGTCCTGGCCCGGACGCTCTTCTTTCGAGGTACTCTTCAGTCTTATCATAGTATAATTAGTAGTACAATTAGTGTTGTTGTAAACCCAAGGGTTTATTCAGACGATCATTGCTATTTTTAGGTACAATCGGGGGCTTCCAGGGAGAACCGTTTTCAAAGCCGAAACCCCTAAACCAGGCAGTGTGCGGCAGTCTGGACAGCTGCAAGACCGACCTGCCGGTGGCTTTTCAAACTGGTAACCCAAAAAAGTGCGGGGTGTACGGTTTGCCAGTTGGACAGTTTAGGGTTTAGGGTTTGGGGTTTAGGGTTTAGGGTTTAGAGTTTAGATTACTTCGCATCTAGACTGTAGATGGCTATCTGACATCGCGCGCAGGTTCGTGATTCAATCCTACTTGCAATTTCTCTGAGAGGTGTGCCAGTCCCTACCAGAGTGTGAGTCCGGATCCCAGATTGTACTCGTTGCAGCTCCTTCGAAAGGTTTGGTATTCGGGGGGTACCTGAAGTCAGTCCCTGGGGCCTTCTGCTGCTTTCTTGCATAGCTTCGATTACTTACAGGGTCTTAGTCAGGTTCCATGAACGAGGATCCGAAGGGGACCGGAAACCTTCTGCTTCCTGCAGGTTCTGGGTCTGGGGCCAAGAGGAGGGAGAACAGAAATGCTGGCGGTGGCCTTAGACTGCTGGGAAGGTCTTCAAAATCGCCATGGTCGTTTAAGAAGGATTTTTGAGGGATTGCATGATTTTTTTTTGAAACGGCTGTATACCGGTCGTTGTCGCGCAAGTCGACAGAGTGCAGCGGGATTTTGGTGTTTAGGGTTCAGGGTTTCGGGTTCAGCGGCCTTTCCAGAACACGTTCTCTTCGGAGCAAGAGTCAATTCATCTAACGATCCAACACGAGACCTTTACAATGAGTCATGTCCAACCACTACCGTATCGGACTTCTCGATCGATTGCTCTTCCCTTTTGCACCCACACGGGGTGCCCCTGGTCCCTTGTTGTGTGTGCACCCGCGCCGCAGGAACCCCTACCCTAAAACGACGGATTGCAGTGCACAGAGTGTCGGACACCCTTGCGAGCTCTACTGCTAGTACATCCTTGGTGGTGAACCTAGCAGCCGTTCCTGACCCCGAGCCCTACTACCATCCTGGCCCGTATTTCAACGGTGCGGAGTACTTATGGCACTGAACCCTCGTCAAGCCCTGACAGTGAGTCAGACTAGCATCCCCGGATGGCCTGAGTTTGTGATTTGTACAGCATCTTCGGTAGCGCTTCGGTAGCTCTGAAGATGAGGGGTCGCTCTTCCGCAAACACTTGTGGAATGACGGGCAACACAGTTGTGAATCCGTTTGCCAGTGCGAGGGAGTGGTTCTGCAATTTGGGCTTATTTGGTTTACTTGGTTGGTGTTCCTTTCCCTCTTCGGCTGGCCTTGTTTCTTTGGGCGGTTGGGTTTGTTCTTGGTTCAGGGTTGGGTTTCTTCTTCAAGGCCCAACCGTCCCCCAGGCTCCTCCCGGTAGGGAGTTTCGGCTACAACCTGCAGTTGGAAAAGGGCCCGCAGAACAAAAAACAAACCCTAAAACCCTAATTTTTGGAGCGTACTATTCTGAATTCTTGGGGCCCCCAAAGGAGCTTGGCCCCCTCCGCAAGGTTCAGACTGGGGGATGATGGCCGCGAAGCAGGCGAAGGCAAAAGAAGACCCAGAAAAAACTTGGGGGTATTCCAGAGCTCGCAAGGCGAGGGTAGCGAAATTTCGGGTCTTGAAGCGGAAGTTTGTGAGTTTGGTTAATTTTAGGGGCTTCGGGTCTTGAAGAGGAATTTTGA